GACAAAATAGACTTTAAAGTAAAATCCACCACAAAGGATAAGGAAGGACACTACATAATGATTAAAGGGTCAATATACCAGGAGGACATAACTCTAATAAATATTTACGCACCCAATGACAAGGCTTCAAAAGACATAAACTCTAACAGCACTGAAAAGAGAGATAGACAACTCCACAATAGTGGTAGGAGACTTCAATACACCACTTTCAGTGAAGGACAGAACCTCCAGAAAGAAGCTCAACAAAGACACAGAAGAGCTAAATGCTACAATCAACCAATTTGATCTCATAAACATATACCGAACACTCCACCCAACGCACATGGAACGTTCTCCAGAATAGACCACATATTAGGCCATAAAGCAGGCCTTCACAAAATTCAAAGCATCAAAATATTGCAAAGCATCTTTTTGACCATAAAGCCATAAATGTAGAAATCAACAACAGAAAAAGCAAGGAAAAAAAATCAAACACATGGAAACTGAACAACACCTTGCTGAAAAACTACTGAGCTATAGAAGAAATTAAGGATGGAATAAAGAAATTCATAGAATCAAATGAGAATGAAAACACATCCTACCAGAATGTTTGGGACAGCAAAAGCAGTGCTGAGAGGTCAGTTTATAGCAATAAATGCATACATCCAAGAAGAAGAAAGGGCGATAATCAAAACATTAACCTTACCACTGGAACAAGAAGAAAGAGAACAGCAAAAGAAGCCCTCAGGCGCCATAAGAAAGGAAATAAGGAGAATTAGAGCAGAATTAAATGAAATAGAGAATAGAAAAACAATTGAAAGAGTTAACGAGACCAAAAACTGGTTATTTGAAAAGATCAACAAAATTGATAAACCATTGGCCAAACTGACAAAAGAAAAATAGGAGGGGAAGCAGATAACTCATACAAGAAATGAGATGGGTGATATGATGACAGACCCAACTGAAATTAAAACAATCATAACAGAACACTATGAAAAAATGTACTCTAACAAATTTGAAAACCTGGAGGAAATGGACAAATT